GTGGGCCTTGTCCACACATGCTGCAAAATAAGGCAGGAGAACCCCATTTTTGAAGGTCTCCGACTGCCTACCAATGCACCTGGGAGACTGTTTAATGGTCAGTGCAGAAAACTAATGCAGTGCACCACAAAATATACAGCATGACAGGAGGCTTAAACCACTTGGGCCAACTGTAGGGGTTACATTGCTGCTACAGACAACAATGACTCGAAGCATTAAATTATGCAGGTTGGGAAGCAAATATTTCATAGCTGAAGACACTTCTATTGATACGAATGTCTAAAAAAAAATTTTGGGAGAACACAAGAGATTAGATGAATGAAAGTTGCATTGACAATATATTGTGGCTCTTACGAGGCTTCACAGACAGCAGCCTAATAACACACGTCCCAGGACCGCCTCCACCCACACAGGGAATATAACTTACAGGCAGGAGCACATACCTTTAAGGATACCGGTCTCAGTACCAACCCACACGTGGTTACAAGCAGGCGCCGCCATGTTTACCCATAAAATGTAGGTTAGCAATCACTTTCCAATCCAGGCGCAACCCAAAGACGTCACGGTCACATGACAGGCTGAATGCGGATATCGGTGTCCCATGTGACCTCGTGTTGAAGTAGTAGATGACTCAAATAGTGGAGTGTTGGTTGCACTGTACGCCTGTGCGGGGAGTATATGTGTTTTACAAGCACCCTCATTCATTTTCTCTATCTTTTCAGGTATGCATTTCACTCAGACCAGTTTACCCGCCACAAACTTTCCTACGCTACCTTTCTTGAATAATCATTTTTATTATGTTTCAGAAACATAAAAACAGGTACAAAACTGGCTCCAGATATGATACATATGCAGATTTATGCACAGTTTATTGACGTAAAAAGTGCAACTGAAGCCAAAACTTTTTATTTAGTTTTGGAGAGGGACTAGAACACCTGTTGGGTCTCTATTGCTGTCTTTGTTCCCTTGTTACGGAGATTCACCCTATTTGTCCTGGTGACTGTTATGACTGAAAGTGAAAGGAAGTTTCACATTTTGGATATTCATCAGAACAGGAATTGAGGTGAAATCTTCCAATGGAGACACTAGTTCTGGTGAGCCTGCTGACCACCAGGGATTTCTCTCTCTTTGGAGCGATTTCTTCTCGCTTCCTGTTGTAGCTGTTGGGCAGGAAGTGAAGGGAAATCTCTCTAATTGAACACAAATGATGACAAAAAGCTGACGGGTTATAACCCTCCCTTACTCTATCCCCAAATAATCAAAACATTTTGGCTTCAATAGATCGCAGGAACCATACAAATGCATATGAAGGTCTAGTGAGATACTGGAGGCTTCACCTGAGAACGTGAGGAAACATCACTCCCCTTCCAACACCCAGTAGAGGAAGAGGGCATGAGGATAGAGCACGTTAATCAGATCAACTATTTCCAATGTAAATCCATGTTCTTTCCGCATCACAACGCGGACCTCTGTACTGTGCGTCACACAGCTTACCTCTGTACTGTGTGTTACGCTGCTGACTTCTGTACTCTGCTTCATACCGCTGATCTCTGTACTGTGCGTCACACTGATGACTTCTGCTCTCTGCATTACACCACTGAACTCTGCACTCTGCTTTTTTACTGACCTCTGTACTGTGTTAGACCGCTGGCCTCAGTACTCTGCGTCACACCGCTGGCCTCAGTACTCTGCGTCACACCGCTGGCCTCAGTACTCTGCGTCACACCGCTGGCCTCAGTACTCTGCGTCACACCGCTGGCCTCTGTATTCTGCGTCCCACCGCTGGCCTCTGTACTCTGCGTCCCACCGCTGGCCTCTGTACTCTGCGTCCCACCGCTGGCCTCTGTACTCTGCGTCCCACCGCTGGCCTCTGTACTCTGCGTCCCACCGCTGGCCTCTGTACTCTGCGTC